AGACGACGGTCGAACCTCGGCGGGGGAGGAGGAGTCGGTCGGGGAGAGTCCGGGCGACGGGTTTAACATGGTGAACTCTTTTCAATCGGTACAGGAGGAGGTCTCAAGCGGCCCCCAAATCCAGACAAATGGCTTGTTCATGGCTTAAAGAGAGACCTTTTGGGTTCTTCAAGAATAGGACTCTTGAGGGGTTTTGCGCTGGTGGTTTGGGCACGTCCTCTTGACCAAGAAGACCCGGCCTTGGATCCTGGCAGGTGGAGGTCCAACGTCTACACTCCCACATGGGAGGTGCTTCTGCTGCAGGGTGGGAGAACGTGTTGGCCTGGGTTCCAGGATGGCAGGTGGTGAGACGTGCCCCCCTGAATGGGCTTCCGTAATGCTTCTGATCCTCACTGGATGGGTCTTTGTCAATTTGAAGGCTTGGTTCCCGGGGAGAGGAGATTGGAGGGAAGTGATGGTAGGGGGGGGTCACCCAGGACGCTGTTGCAGGAACCCTTTGACATGTCGACATTGAGATCCTTCAGTTCCGATGATCGCGGACGATCACTGCTCCACCCAGCGGAGTTCACCGGTGCCGCACCGCCTGGTCGCCGCCGTGGGTCGAGTTCAGGCGGAGGATCGGAAGGCCACGGCGGAGCGTCTGCAGCGCGTGATGAAGGCCGAGCGCCGCGGAGCGCTGGAAGTCTCTTGGGATGGTGTTCATTTTTTCTCGCAGAAACCGGGAAACATGCGCCTCTTGGGTATCCCAACAGGTAACAAGCAAACCTCGGAGACGAGATGAAGACGCGCACCACCTACCTACTTCCTGGGTGGGACATCTTCGCCGCCCCGGGGGGTTTTCCCTCTCGCCACCTTTTGGCGGAGTTCGGGAGGATTGTTTCGTTCTCCCGAAGCAAGGGTGGGCAGGGTGTGAAGTGGGCGAAAGAGGCTTCGGACGTCGGACGCGCTGAAAGTCACCTGTTCTGGTCGCTCCTTTCATGCAAGAATGGTCAGGTGCCACATCGGAGGAAGCGCTTCCGGCATAGGGCCAAATAGGGCACCGAAAGTCTCATGATCCACACCAGCAAGAACTGAGGAGCCAACACCAGTGGTCGGCGACGTGCTCGATTTCTTTTCTTGCAGTTTGCATGGACTGGAGAACTTTCTGGTAGAGGCTACTTCAAAGCCTTCAAGGGAAAAGCCGATTTTGGCACATGTTCCTTGTTCAAAATACAGCCTGAATCAACAGTCTCTGTGTCATTGAATGTAGCAGTTGAGATGATGGAAAGGTACCAGGAGTCACAAGACGGGGTGGTCTTTAGCCCCATCCAGTGAGTGGATGTTCTGGGCACCCTTATCCTCCAAGTTGGGCACCCCGTCTTGTGACTGGTAGGCCTGTCTCATCCACTTAAAGTAGCAAAACCGGGCAACTTACTGGGTCACTCAGCTGCGAAAAGGCTTAGGGGGTCGGTCCAGCCCGCCGGTGTTGGCCGACGGGGAGACCCGGCCAGGGAGAGTCCTCCTCGATGGTGGAGAACATGGTCAACGACTTGATTGGGAGGCACATCGGCGCCCGATCCGGATGCGATCGGGGGCTTTGTGGCTCTGTGGCTTTTTCATTTGGCTGTGGCTCCACAGGGTAGATGAGTGTACAGGATTTTTTCCATACTTAAAGCCACATCCACATGGCTCGAAAAGAAGTTCAAATCAAGTTGATGTTGGTTTTTGAGATATATTACACATACCAGCACCCTCCAACAGGTCACCACCTGACACTTTTAAGTCTCCAAAAGCCTACAAGCCTCCATGTCGGAGACCTGTAGAGTCGTCGGGTGCTGGTATGTTTCATGGTATATGGGATTCACATGGCCAACCAGCCAGCTTGGTCACGGAATGGAGAACAAGGGGACCACATTTCAGCTTGGTCACTCGGCACCGATGTGTTCCACCCGGCCGAACGGCCCAGGGGCCTGAACCAGGAGACCGCCGAATGGGGGGGGCGGACGCGCGCGTGACCCGGTTTCAGGAAGGGTGTCACAGGAACAAGACTGGCTTTTCATAGATACATGTATATATATATATATGAAGTTGGTTTTCAATGGTTTTCATGGGTTTCAATTGTCACAGGGCAAGTGCCTTGCAGTATTGGAGATGGATGTTTTCGGTGTAAAGAGAGGCAGCAGCTACAGAAAGAGCATCTCGGAACATGGAGAGCATGATGCAAATCCCTCTTTCGGAGCGTGTAGGGGATTGGAAACGGGCTTGGCCCAAGAGAATGGCCTAAAGCCAAGAGAACGGCTTGAGCCATCTCCACTTCTTCTGGGTGCAGGAGAAGGAACCCGTGAAGACCTCCGTGGTGGATTCCAAGATCTTTCATTGCTTCATCTACGGCGCCCCCCCTCGTCGCGTCTCGGTGCCTTCGACCTGCCGCCGCGCGCCGCGCGTGAACGGTCGAGGTACCATCATCCTGAACGCCTTGACGCTGGGCATGCAGGCGCGCACGTCCGGCGCGCGTCCGGCGCGCGTCCGGCCGGTCGGGGCGGTTCCGGGCGGGACGGAGTGTGGCTGGCGAACGGCGAGGGGGAGGAGGTTGCGCGGAGTGACCGGTGACAGGCAGACTTCCAGACTGGGAGCTGGCCATTGTGGGGAGGCCCAGCAGGTGGAGGTCAAGCGTGAGGTGGTGCAGAAGGGGCAAAGAGAGGGCAGATTGGGAGGAAGAGACGAATCTAGGAATAGATAGATGATGGAAGAGCGTTGCTTGGACATTTCAATGTGTTTCTCTGCTTGTTTCCATCGTTTCCTCTATATAAAAGCTCTTTCATCCAACTCAGGGTGTGGCTGATCTTCGAGAATGTCTTCACTGCGGTCTTCACCATCGAAATGGTCTCTTTGCTGCAGCGGCCATGAATGGAAACCAACGGGCAGATGACTTGGGTGTTCTGAAGTTGCACGATCGTTGGTGGCTGGAGCTTTTGAACAGATTGTTTTTGCATCAGTAACTCTCCCTATTTAAGGTTTTGGGGTGCCTTATCGTAGTCACTCAGCATCAAGGAACAACCAGCTCAAAGTTTGGAAGACAGTTGGTCCAACAGTGGTGGACCCGTGTGAACAAACGGATCAGGACGCTTCAGACGACAGATCATCACTTCAGGACACTTCAGCGACCACCCGTGCCATGCTTTCAGCAGTTCCTGCCCTGCCCCATACAGTACCTGGCTTGGACATCCACCGACCCCCCCCTTGAAAACCCGCGCCGCGCGCGTGGAACACGCGGCTCGCAGCACGAGAGGTCTTGAAGATCTACTTTTTGCGGCTGGAGTACTTCTGGAATGCCCTCAGCTCAGCTGGAGTACCGAAACAGCTGAGCTCACCTGAGCGACCGGCTGGGAGCAGAGTGAGGCTTGGAGGAAGCATCGTCAACAAACCAGCTAAATGCGGCCGCAAGAGATTGAGTGATGGGTTGCAACTTGAGATCCACCGGGGCCCAGCAGGTCGCATGGTCTTCCCGTGCTGCCCGCTTTCGCGACCACTGCCGCACGCAGCCGTTCCCAGGAAGGGACGGTGCTGGCGTTTGTCTCCACCTTTTGGGGGGGGCACGGCTCGTAGCCGTCCGCGGAAGTCTGCGGACGGGCAAGTAGGTGTGTCATGTTGAATTAGCAATGAATCAACAGGTCTTTGTCATATTTGCTACTATAATTTGCTACTTGAACCTGACTCAAAACATCGCGAGACCTCAGAAAAAGGCCCTCCGCCGCCTATCTCCGCGCTTCTCGCTCTCTCCACCGCCTCGCTCCGCCCAGCCGCGTACGCCGCGTACGCCCTCGCCTGCCGAGGCCGGCGGTCCGGTCTATTGGAACCTCTTGGACTTCGCCGCTGGGACCAGGGGCCGGGAGTGGAAGACTCACACTGCCCGTCGGGCCAACCAGCGGGGCGGAAGACTCCTTCTCCGCCTTGAACACCCCCCGTTGTCGGAAGCGTGGAAGACCGCTGGGATCGAGGGGGCGGAGCGTGGAAGGCGGCGAAGTCATGGCTTTGATCGGTTCCGACAGATCGAAGATCGAGCGGCGACGAAGATCGGCCCGGTCCATTTCCGGGCATCGAACTTGCAAGTGACCTGGAGGTGGAAGAAAAGGCAAGACAGGGATGCCCCTGATGATCATATTTGCCGAAGGTGGAGACCACTTAGTGTGTCCTGAAGTCTTCCATTGCCATAGCAACCAGTGACTTGTGATGATTTACCTCCACTATCCTCCACTGTTTATAGAGCTTTCGCTTTCACCTTCAATAACACCAAGAACTTTTGCAGCGATAATCAACCATCAACCAAAAGGGGCCTCATGTGAAGGGCACATCAGGCCCAGCACCCAGCTACCCCTTTTCGGGACAAAGCCGGGAGTCCTGAAACAGGTATTTTCTGAATCGGTTGAGACTTGTCCAACATTTGATGCACTATAAGACAAATCCATTGGATTTAATTGGTCGGTCTCAACTTTCCAAACCTTTGAAGTTGTGAAATCCGGTCAATGACTTTCTACGAATCTGATGGCTTTCCTTCCGATGTGGAAAGACGGACCCGAACCCACTCCGGGAGCCGAGACCCGACCAGAGCATCCCAGTCTGACTAAGCGAGTCTGACTCCACGTGGATCCAAACAACTCCATCGACCACATGGCCAGAGTGGCATGGACCCATGAAGAGGCCAAGTGGCCATCCATCCCATCTATGCCATCCTCTGTGTGGGCCATCCATGCCAACTTCTCCCTCAAAGGATAGTGGCGTCAATAGAGGATGCATCCGGGCCAGACGCGCTTGAGCTTCGGAACGCACGCGCGCGGACCCGCTGCCACGTTCCGGTTCAGCCTGGTGCCATAGGCACGGTCGAAAGACTGTAGCAGTTTGAAGGCTCCAAAGACGAGGTCAGTTCCAAATGAAGGTCAATCCCAAATGAGGTCAGTTCTCACCGTTTGAACACCATGACCGTAGCTGCCTGTTCGCGACCAGACTTCCAATGCGATCGCCATTGATCCTTTTCTTGGCGCAATGATCCACAACCCATGACCAGTTGGATGGCAGAGCCATGTCTTGCTGGCGGTCCTGGCATGCCGCCTTGGCTGCGTGGGTTCTCTTGGAACAGCTGGTGGGCACCAGAGGCAACTGCACGGCCTACATGCAGTTCGATCTGTATAGCAACGGCAGTTGTTGTGAAGCTTTTAGGATCTTCCATGACCTCAATCTATATACAAGGAGGTTCTACTTGACCAAGAAGATACCGATTGTGAAATGGGTGGAGTTTCCTTTCCGGGCCAGCTTGGTGGAAGAGGAGCCCAATGAGCGTGGCAACTGTCCTAGCGAGGCCGGAGGAGAAAAAACCGTTCATGAGAAAACGCTGGCGTTCGAGACGCCAGATTGACAAGCCACATTTGAGCACGCTGTGGATTTGTTGTTTGGAATTTGGAACCGGTTCACCGATACCGATACCGATACCCTGATTGTCAATTGAACATCCTTCCCAAAGATGTGTGAGAATAGACTCAATACTGTGGGTGTCAGGGTCTTTTTATGACCCGTGGGTGGCTTGATCTATTTGTTCCTATCTTCTCTCATCTTCTTACCCCCCAACAAAAATACAGAAAAGGAAAGAGCCAAAAATGACCAGCGAAAAGGAGACCGACTCCACCGGATCTTCGGAGTCTTGGAACACCTCTCCAGGATCCCCCCATTTCACCCGACCTTTCAAAAGGCTCCGAATACTTCCACCCAATTCACTACACCATCCAACAGATGTTTCGGCTATCCCAGGAACCGGTAGGTGTTCCGGGTCCGGTCACTTGACCTCTGCCAGGGCTGCGAATGCCCCGACGTGGCTTTCGCCTTCGTGCGACTCTTCGAGTCGCTGCTGAGCCTCACCTCCGCGCTTTTTCTGCTCGGCGCGCGCGAGGCCGCGCGCCTGGCAGATGCCGCGCTGCAGATGGCCGCGCGGAACGTGTCTTTGGCGGTGAAGGTCATCGATCGCTTTCCGGAGCGGCAGAAGCAGGTGCCCAGATGTTGGCAGTTGGGAGGGGTGAATTGGATGGAAATCCCTTGGATTGGAGGAGGATTATACCAATTTCACGAGAATTCAGACTCTTTCGCTGGATGCTCGCCCAACCTTGAGCTCGCCCAGAGCAGTGGGTCCGAGCCCAGGGAGCGTTCCTGTAGACATTCCATAGGAGTGGCTGGGGCACAGCGGCATAGACCTCGTCCGATCCTCCCCCCCCGGCTGTGCTCCTCCTCCAAACCGATCCTCCCTCGTCCGGAACGCACGGGTTGTTGAAACTGCTTCCGACGGTCTCGGCCCCGTTCGGGGCCGAGTCTCCGGATCGGGGCCGATTCTCGCGTGCTGGGCACGGGACGGGGAGTGTGCCATCCGGAGCACAATGTGTCCGACTTAGTCCAGATAGTCCTAATACATCCACTCACTATGAAAGAAATGAAACTGTCTGTTTTGCAGACAGTTTTGCGGATGCAACAAGTGATTCATCAATGCATCCCCCCTTCTTTTGGGTCTTCACTCCCGTGCAAGTGACAACGCACCGAAGTCCCCGTCGTTTTTGGTCCGTCCTCCACCCACCTCCACCACCTGCTCCCGTGCTCCGTCAGGCCTGGCCCTGGAGGCCCGCGCTGTACTTTGCTCGCTTGGTGCTGGCCGCGCTCCCCGCACCGCGGACGGACGCGGACCGCGCGGTGGCGGCGCCCGCGGCGCCGACCGGGCCGGGCGCCGCGCTGAGGGGCGCGGAGCTCCGGTGGCTCTCAGGGCGCTTGGGCGTCGTGGGGTTGCTGGTGCCGCCGAGCGCGTTGAATCGGGCGCCGCACATGAAGCAGATTCCGAAGGTGGTGTTGAACCGCCAGGAGCAACACAGTGCATTCTCTGAGTGCGTGGCTGTCTTGGAATCGAACCAGGTTCAATACTTCCCTTCGCGTGGGACGTTGATCGGCTTGGTTCGCTATGGTGACTTGCAGGGGAAACTGAGTGGATTTAAAGTTGATGTGGTCGACCGAGATATGGATTGGATGGTTCATGTGGACAGCGCAGACTCCTGGTTTCACTTGGCGCAGCAGATCTCTGCTTCTTTGCTGGACAAGGGATGGCACAGCTGCCAGCTGACCGTTGCCTCCGAAGTCCTTTGCTTGGGCGAGATTCATTCCATGAAATGCATCCGCATCGAGCCTTATGTGGCCTCTGTGGACTTCGATGCCTATCACCTGCTGCCGGGACGCCTCTGTCTGGGCTTCCGCGACGAGCAGTTGAGCAGTCCTTACCGCCGCTGCGCGGAGACCGCGGAGACCGCGGTCGACCGCGGCGCGGAGACCGGCGCGGCGGGCGCGGCGAGACGCTGCTTCGGGGCGCAGGAGGTCTTTCCCCTGCAGAAGTGCCGGGCGCCTGTGGTGGGCAGTGTGCCTCTGACCTTTCGAACCAGAAGGTTTCTTTGTTCCACTCCATCCGACTGGGTAGGAGGGTGCTTTGACCCCGAAGAGGTATGCTTTTTGGGCCGTTGTTCCTTGTTCAAAGATGCTGACACGAACGTGACTCTTTCTTTTGAACCCAAAAAGTCATCTTCATCTAGGCAGTACAGAGACTTTTTAAATTGGCATTCTCTGAAAGCATCTTGTCTTCACCTTCCAGAACTGCTCATGTCCCAGAAAAAGCAGCCACCACATCACTGCAGTGATTCACTGTATTCAAGACTGCCACTCCCACATCGGAGCATCCAATGGACTTTGCACTCGGGGCGCCACATGCGTCCTACCCCGAATCGAAGTCCAGTTCTTCTTGGAATCGTCGATTTTTTTTTTGGGAAGGAGACAACGATTCCTTTGGGTCTTGTTAAGACGACCCGCCTTCTTGGAATCGTCGACCTGTCACGTCATGGCACTTTCCTGACGCGTCCAACTCCTCCTCTCCAGGTGCCCTGTCCCCGTGATCCCGTGGCCTACCTGGCGCAGCTCTACGACGCCGAGACGAGCGCCGCGCTCACCGCGTCGCGGGCGCGGCGCTGCTGGGCGCTGCCGTCGATCACCGAGTCGCGGGCGCCCAACGACCCGCGGAATCAGCTGCTGCGGCAGCAAGGCTTGAACGGCTCGGACGTGGCGCTCCTGAGGCGAGACATGGCGAGATGGGAGACGGGAGACCGTTGTCCCAAAAACGGTGCGGCTTCTTTTTCAGCGTTGCTTCAGGAACTTGAATATATCGTAATAAGTCGTAATATCATATTGGATCTCCCAACCCCCACGTACATACTTGCATAAACGAGCTGATCACCACAAGGTGGGAAGCCCGTTCTCCCCACCCACGGCTCGCGACTCCCGCTGCACTCGCCCGGCCTCCGCCGCCGGCGGGACTCGCGGCCAGGCGCAGCGCGGAGGAGTTGCACGGCGAGGGCTACGCGTCGTTTCGCGAGGAGCTGGAGCGGTGCAACGTGTCGTCCGAGGCGCTGGAGGATGTGATGCAGGGCTCCTTCGGCAAGTGGAGCTTGCTGCGGAAGAGTTCGAAGGTCCAAAAAGGAAGATCCCGATTTTGGGGGAAGGGGCCGGTCCTATTTGACGCTCATCCCATCACCCCATGGTTTTTTCCGACGGTGGCCAGTCAGTGCGGGACGTGGCCAGTCAGTGCGGGGAGGGCGGAAGAGTCCTTTTTTCAAGTCAGAGATGGTTGGTGTTTGGGGCAAGTCATGGATGTTCTCGAGCGCCTGGACTCCATGTGAAGCCCAATCCCAACGGGTAATCCCGAGGCCAAGAAACGAAACCGCCTGAGTCGAGCACCACGACCACTGGGAGAGTCCGGCGAACATCGTGGATGGACCTGGATCTTTCTGGAGAGGTTTCACATGGGTTTATGGAGAAGACCTGCTGGTTGACCCCAATTCCGCGGGTCTTCGTTCATTCTTTTTTACAGCAGGAACTATTTTTGGGGTCTCTAAGCGCAAGCCGGCGCAAGCTCGCTTCTGATGGTCAACGATCACGACGAAATGGATCTTGTTTACATACCTATCGTGAATTGTAGTGATATTTGGATCCTTGCGTCCTAAAAGGCTGAAGCTGAGCACACAAGTGTTATAGGATGTCAAAAGACTCATTACTGAGCAGAATTGGGCAGGTAGACCAGATAGGAACCAGGAACTGCAGCTCGTCAGACACTTGCTTTTCTTGGTTCAAAGGCCAGGTTTGGCAGGCAAGGGAGTATTTTTGCAAGTAACACCTGATTTCGTATGGGAGCAATTCTTTCGTTTGCACAGCAACTACCGAACTACCTACCAAGCCCCCACGTTGTTCCCTGTTCGTTTCCGTCCGTTTCCCACTCAGTTTGTGATAGGTGCCTTCTTCTCTGTCGATCCTTTTTCCTTAGATCTATTCTTCCCAAGTTGCTGGTCGAACATTCTTCCACCCCCACTCGTCTCGACGCGCCAAAAGACAGGGTCGAGCCGAGCTGCAGCGCCGGCGTTTCGCAGCACGAACCGTCTGGGAACCGCCTATAGCTATCAAATGGGTGATGCTGGATGCCCCCAAACCTCTCCTGCCAAGTACACCACACGTGGTTTGCTCTTTTCCTTCAGAAGGCGTGCTCCTCCTCGTTTCCTTCGTCCAAAGGTCATCGCCTGGCTCGCGATTGCGGATTGCTGGATCTTATCGTCCGGGTGTCACAGCCTGTCAGGTTGTCAGTGCTCCTCGTGGGGAGGGGAGTCCCTGAAAGACCCCCAAGAAAGAGGACACGTTTAGACGGAAAGTCATTGGTTGGAGGGTCTTCCTATTCCAGTTACACTCCCAGATGACGGAACAAGATGAGTGCTTTTGGAACCAAGAGTCCTTCACCCTGAAACGTGTGAAGTGAGTCCTTCGATGGATTCGTTTCGGGTTCACGTTGCAGGAGGTAGTGAGAACCTGCAATCATTTTGCTGGTGAACTTCCTCCAAATCCGAAGTGATCCTGTTTCTTCCTCCAGAAGTCGTTCTGTCTGGTTTACCCAGCAGACGTACGTACGACTCGACTGGACTGTACCAAGCTGCAACGACACCCTGTGTTTGTTTGTTTCTTTTTTTTTGTGTTTTACTTTATTTTAGTCTATTTATTTACTATTTTTGTTAATAGTTGTGATACTTTTTGTTATTCTATTTTTATATGTTTGTTTTTTTTTTCTCTCTCTCTCTCTATACACAGGTATACACAGATATATCGATATATTGTATCCATGTATTCCTTTCAGACCCCCATTCCCATTCAGACCCCAAATCATCGGCATCCCGAGATCACACAGCCAGCGATCTCGGCTCCGTCACCGGATCTTCGCTCGCTCGTCGGCCGCCCGGTCGTCCGCGGCGAGGTGGCAGGACATCAACGACGCGCGCGGGAGCCGAGCGAGGGGGGGCCGGTGGAGCTGTTGGAGGGGGGGGTTCACCAGGTCCTTCAGATCCACCAGGTCCACAGCAAGGGTTTGGGGTGTTTCGGTTTCGGTTTCGGCTTCTCCTTTGGCCTTTTGAAAACGCAGCTCTTGCACCCAGGAAACTTAACATGGAACCTGAAAATCACTGGGTTGTAGAGGGAAATAGTCTTCCAAAGGTCTACTTTCAGGTTCCATGTTAATTTTTCCGGGTGCAGTTGTTTCTTCGACGTGACCCCGATGGAGAAAAGGAACAGGTTCGATCGTCATCGAGACCTCTAAAGCGGGTTTCGATTCTTGTTTGGGAGAGGGCACAGACCACTAAGGAGGGGACACCTCAAAGAGACCTTTCAAGAAGTTTCTTTCAGGTGAGGGATGTTCGCATTCTAGCCTTCAGTCAAGAGTTTCTGGCTTATCTGCTATATGCCGCTTTCGGAAGACGGGCAGACGGGACGTCGGGCGCGCGGCGCGTGCATGTCCAGCAGTGCACTGAGTGCCACAGGTCCACAGCCACATCGACGGGGCAGCCTGGGAGAGACTAGCTTCTCCCCTGCCAAACATCTCATGGAGGGTGCTGGGTTTGGGGTGGTGTTTCATGATCCAGACACTCCAATGTATGGAAGAGATGTCTACATTGGGGTGATTTCAAGGGCCGTATGGCATCTATATGCCACTCCGCATGTAGTGTCCGCAGACGCCTCCGTGGACCCAGCAAGCCGAGCGCCCCGCTGGTGAGGCCGCTCCTGAGAGCGATGCAGCTCTTGCGCATCATCAGGCGACGGGGTGAGCAGCGGTGACGGGGTGGAGGGCGTTTTTTTTGGGGGTTTCACCTCAGGGGGAATGCGTTGCTTTTGGGGCTGGCACACGGGGCGCTCTTCTTTTGGGTTTGGCACCAACGCGTGCTGCTGTTGGTTGGTGAGGTTCGTCGACCTCGACTGAGCTCAGCTCGACCACCCACCGCTTCTATCGACAGGATAGCGAAGCTGATTGGTCTGCGGCAGGAGCTGGTGGCCGGGAAACCCGTCCCGTCGCGGCAACTGGGCGCTTCGCCCCGCTACAACGGTGGGGACCGGTGACGGGGCGGTCAGCGGGGCGTTGGGTGGTTCGACCGGCTGCGGGCGGAAGAGACGCTGTCGGACATGGAGCCAACGAACGGAGTTGGGTGTGAACAGGTGGGTGGGAGTCACCCCGAGTGAGGGACGGGAAACCGTCCGGGGAAGTCGCACAGCCACGACGACTTTTTGGGATGTCACCGTTTTTGTTGATTGACCTTCTTCGGGATCCTTTTCCTTGGTCCTTTCGTCCTCGCTTCACACAGCTGCTGCCAATAAGACCGCTCACCACGAGGGCGCCCCCTCGCTTGGAGCAGCACTCGCAAACGCTGCGTGGCGGTGGCGGTCGCCCCGGTCGCCCCGGGCGACCCGACGGCGGGTCGCCGTCGCAGGCCATCATGGAGGGGCTCTTCAGCTCGTTGGAATGCATGGCCCGGGACGCTCGGGTGTCGTCCCTGAAGGGTGGTGTGATGTCCGGAACCCAGTGGATCGCAGGCAGTTCCCACTATAAAGTAGTAAGGAACCAGGGATGAACAGAACCGGTCTATGTTTTTAGCAAGAACTGGAACCACTGGGACTCCCAGCGACATCGTGGTTTGCCTGGATGCCCTGGGGGAGGAACAAGAAGAATTTGCATGGCTAGGAACAAGAAGGGTTTCCAGCACTGCTAGGCACTGCTGGGCACTGTTTGCTTCCACGGTTGGGCTTCAAGTTTGCTGGTTGGCTCTACTTACTTTGTGTGGAACTCCAAACTCACCGAAAGGGCGAAGACGAAGACGCCACAGAAAAAGGGAAGATTGGAGAGAGACTCACAGTTCTCGGCCAATTGCGGGGCTTCATCCGCTCGTCCGGTTTCAAGGATCTTCATGCTTCCTCCGCGGACGCGTCGTGACGCGTCGTGACGCGTCGGCTCTTTCTGAGGTCTGGATAGGCGCGGTCCACGGACGTCACGTGCGCGGTCCACGTCCCGTGGGTCGGGGGTGTGGGTGCTCGCCGGTCGAGTTCGACGGTCTGTTCGTTCAGGTTCGAAGGTGGAGGACCCAATTGGAAGACGGGAAGGGGAAGGAGAGGAAGGAGAGAAGGGGATTGGATATAAAGCTGGGAGTCTTCTTTCCGAGACGCCGAGGACGTGTCGTCCGTGGCAGACCTTGCTGCATGAATTACGAATTAAGAAAAGTTCATCAGCTGCCCGTTCTCTCAATTCGACGAAAATCAGGGCCTCGAGGGGCAGTTTCGTCGAACCCTGCTCTTAAAGATTGGATCGCTCGCAGGAACCAATCTGGCAGGTCGCCAGGGTTTTCTATGAGAGGTTGGGCCGACAGGAATGCCCGAGCCAAGACTTTGCAAAGGTCTGATGGGTATTCCTTGAGTTTATTCGTTTTCCACCCTCCAGACTCGTCTCTTCCTATGCAGCCTCCCTTTGGGAGAGAGGTCGTACGACCTTGGATCAAAGCTTCCTCCAGGCCTTCACAATTCGCCACCAAGAAGGAAGTTGGCTTAGGCGAATGGCCTCCGTAATGGCCTTGAAGCAGGTGGATCAGCTGGCAACGTCTGAACCGTAGAAGGAAGCGAACCATTGGAAGGCGCCAGATAGACGCATAGTCTGGTATGTCATGTGGCTCTGAGGGATGCTCAATGACCGCTGTAGCGCCAGAAAGGAGTGCCGTAACAAATAAGCGCAGGGCAACTCCTAGGAGCTGGGTGCCAATCAGGACCTGCTCGCTCTCCTTCCGTGTGAGACAGCAGAGGCCAAAAGGTCGTGCTCGGCTTCGGACAGGCCTAATGTTGTACACCTCCGACATGACTGCTCGGGCCCGTGTCCAGGTTTCACACGGAGGTCCCGCTAGGAAACCTCGCAAAATTCCTTGGCGGAGGGCTCTATCGAAGAGCAGAAATGTCTCGGGGCGAAGCAGGTCGCCCCAGGTCACATCGTATATAATATCGATGGAGATTGCAACAGCTCCAAGTTGCTCAAGGTGTTGTTGAAAATCTCCTTCTCTCCGTGCACCAGCAAATAAGTGTGCAAATACACAAGGAGCATAGCGTGGTTCGCAAGGGATCGACAAGTGCACTTCCTGCAAGCTCTGGGCTTCTTGAATGAAGAAGGCATCAATCTTGGCCTGCTGAGTGGGGATCTGAATTTCTCCTTGTAGGAACCAGTCTCCGGAGGCTTGAAAGAGAAAAGCATCACCTACTGCAAGACAAGAAATACAAACTGAGAACTTGCTCCCACCATCCTCTGAAAGTATCCAAAATTTCTTCAGGATAGAGGTAGGTTTGGCAGGTTGCAATTCGCAGCTCTTCAAGAAGTTCATGGCTGTCCTTGGTCTGATGCAGAATTTTTGTCCAAGATGCACAAAGGGCTTGTCGCTCTTCATCCTGGAAGTGTCTCGGCAGAGGGGGTTGACAGAGAGGACCTGCTGCCTGCATGAAGGGATTGGAAAGCATCCCCTGCTTCTGTCTGGCCACACGGCTGTTGACACCTGGTTGTGCCTCCACCCGGACATCTCTGTGCTGGTAGAAGAGTCGGCGCTGTTCATTATTGTGCACATGATTTAGTAAGTTCGCGTGTTGGTCAAAAATTTTGAGGCAGTGCTCACACTGTTCACCGACAACAAACAGCCTAACATGACGAAGTCGCTGATGCACCTTGAAAGAATGGACTGCAAGGTCCGACCTTCTAGCAAAGGTTCTGCGACATTTGAGGCAGAAGTGTGCCGACTCAGTATGACACGGCCGCGTCAGGCATTGGTATCCTTGCAGAAGAAACTCCTTCATAATTTCTCCGTGCCACCAATGCCATTCGTATTCAAGTTTCTGTGAAGAAATATGTCGAGCCATTGCAGCACGAAGCCAGTTTTTCCATCTTGTTGGGTGTTCCCCAACTCTCTGAGCAAATTCATCCCAGGAGTCCTTAAAGGAGTCCAGGAGTCCCTTCTCAGGACAGAACTGGTCAAACCAGGCAACATCAGCTTGCAATTGGGAATACCATTGAGGATTGCGTTGCAACATGGCCCATGTGTGTGGTTGTGCACTATGAAGCAATTGGCTCAAGTATCGCAACCTTGCTACAATCAGCACAACTGGTGGCTTGGGCATTGCAAGCGTGCGGTATAGGCGGTCAGCTCTCCACTGAATCGCACTTTTGCCAAAATGAAGCACTGCAAATCTTCTGTAGAGTCGGAAAAAAGCGTGTTCAATGGCAGCATGCTGGCGATGATTTCTGGGAGTCCAGACAGCAGAATTGAACACAATAGTGCTCATAACAAGGCTAGTGAAAAAATTCTTCTTCTGCTGGTACCCCGAACCTCTATTCGCAAAAATTTGTGGGCGGAACCGCGTCAGAGTATCGTGGGCCATTGCAAAACGAGTCAGGACATCTTGTTGCACACCCCCTCCAGCCTGAAGCCATGTCCCAAGATGGCGGTAGGCCCCCACAATGTGCAATGCAAGACTTCCATAACGGGATGCAACGTGCAGAAGGTGGTCATTCTGTACCAGCAATCGATCAAGAATAATCTGCGAGACCTTAGATGCTTTCTGCAAAAGGCCCAACGCTTCGTAGTCCTCCATGGCAACTGCAACATCGTCCGCCCATATGGGCATTAGAGGGTCAAGTTGGTGTGTCTCAGGTCCTATAGCAAAAGGCCTGGCCTGGCCGTCCCAGCCGATGCTGAGCTCAGGGTACACATCTTTGACTTCATTGATTGCCGATTGGAGGATCTTCGTCAAGGCAAAGCTAAAGCAAAGGTCTGCAAATGAATCACCAGGCCTACTGCCTCGTCGTGTTTGCACTACTGCTGGATCATTGCGTACAACAAACCACGTATTGCGGTAAAATTCCTGGAAAAGCAGCTTGACTCTATCCGGTGCTGAAGAGGAATCAATGGCAGCAGGCTGAGCTAACATCGCAGCGAATTCCTCAAAACACTCATCAGGAAGATTCAAAGCCCGGAAAAGTTCCACAGGGGTCCGTTGGGAAGAACCATCACAGACAATGTGCTCTCTGACCAGCCTATAAAAGGCATTCGAAACATCAATGAAGAGGAAGGCCGTGGAGGTTTTCTTCTGTTGTGCAGCTTGTTGGAACAAATGTAAGACATGAACCGGCTGCGTGATACCCTGCTTCGGAAGGCCTCCAACTTGCATATGCAGTCTCTGCGATTAACACTACTTACAAATAGTGATCTATAGTTGCTCATCAGTCGTGCATCTCCCTTCTTAAACGCAGCAACCAAGTAGCCGCCTTTGTGTAAAAGGGGCTCACGCAAGTAGATCACTTCTTTGAGATACAGAGTGTAAAAAACTTCAGCCATCTTTGCTGGCATTTTCTTCAACAAATCCCCTGGGATGCCGTCTGCAAAGAAGGCCTTGCCGGCGGATGTGCGGTGGAATTGCTCTTCAATCTGGTAGCGACTTGGCAAGTCATGCCATGTGGGGAGCGGCACCGTTTCTAGCGCCTGAGCATCTGCCGTCGCCAAGAGATCATGGAAAGTCGTGACCTTCCCATCTTCCTGTTCACTGAAGTAGTCCCGCCAGTGCTTAGCAATTTCCGACACAGTTTCCAATGGCCGGCCGTCAGGAGAGAGCAGCAATGGTAGGGGTTTGATCCCCGTGGGCTTCTTCCTATTAAGCACCCCAATGGATCTGAACATCTGCATAGTTTCACGTTGGCCTGCATGCAGAGTGTTCTTGGCCAAAGTCTCCAACGCCCTGACCCGATCTTGCTTGAGCTGCTTAGTGAGTTTCACTGTCAGGGCTGCAGTGTGTGCCTTGCTGCAGAGCACTTGCTTAATGTGGCCAAACAGTTCGGCAAAAAGCCCTTCTCTCTGTGGACGACAGTCATGAAACCATGCAAGAAAAAAGGCTCGTAGGGAGCAGAGATCAATCCGGGCCTTCAGTCCTTGTGTGCATCGTCGCGCCCGAATGCGCGACCTTCGGAGCTCCCACGTGGCTTGGGAGATAAAGGACTTGCGGGGCTGTTGCTTGCTCTTCGGGAAATGATCACATAGAAGTCCATGAAT